CTACATGGTATAAGATATTAGGTTTTGAACTATTTGCCATTCAATGCTGATATTAGTATGAACAACAACAAGCGAGATTGATCCAAAGGCTTATTATCCTCTTTAACAAAATCCAAACAAAACATTTATACTAAAGTTTAAAGACTTTAGAAATTGAATGGATTTTAATTAAATAGATTTGTAACATTGATATTTAAATTAAACAAAGCGATTGTATTAATTTTGGTAAACTACAAAATAGAAAGTATTTTAGATTGCTTAACTTATAACAAAAGCTGAATAGTCTTTAACAACCCATTTCAGTTTAGATAAGTGTATTCAAACAAAGAAGTTGTAATAGAAAACGAATTTATCAAAAGGTTTATTCCATTTATTAACAAAAGCTTATTTAAATTAATTTCGCGGACCTTTTCTAAAACATCTGAATAGCAGAAACTTGAATCTGAAACGATTGAGATATTTGAGTATTGTATGGTGGCTTATTATAGGACAGCAATGTTTTGTTGGTGGAATATCTATTGAAAACAAATGTAAAATTATTTTTTATAGGATAGGATGACAAACGAGCACATAGTCCACCTGATGGTAAATGGTTGCTGTGGCGCATAGACATCTACATCTATCCTCGATTACGAATCAAAATGTAAACGCGTTGTCATCCGTGAGGACCTAGGTGGAATGCCTCGTTTCCAATAGAAAGGGTCTCCGGTTCTCTACTCTCACCATACGAAACACAGCAGCATTAAGCTACTATTTGATGCTGGTATTCTGTGAGAGCGTGGTCATTCCCCGGTCGAACCGACCGATTCGTGCTACATCTATACTACTAATAGAACTGCAGCATGACTCTACCACGTAAACGATTTTACATCAAACGTCAAACATTTATATTATTTAGACGAGATAAATATATTCAGTATTTACCTCGTCTATTATTATTTCACCTAGGCTCTGGATTCGACGAAATATGGACCTGAAGAAATGCCTGAGGATCTCATTCCTATATAAGCAACAGCCGAGTCACCTAAATTTAATTTAAAAATTTTTTTTAATGAGTCAGACTAAATTTAATTAAAATTAAGTACTTACTTTATATGTGAATTTGCTTTTCCTAAACGGCAAGAAAGTGATATTATATATTTATTTATTTTAAAACATGAAATCATACTTAATACAAGCTAAGAATTCAATTTATTTAGTTGTTTTATTTTGTATTTCAATTAATTCGAATAAAAAAAAATACCAATTTAATAGCAACTAGCGTAAAAAAATTGTATTAAACAAATTAAAGAACTTTTTACATAATAATATAGAAACCTAAATAAAAATAATAATTAAAATTATAATATTTACTATAATATACTAATTATTATACATAATATAAACAAGGAAACCATAATATATAAAAATTTAAACTAAAAATTTAAATAGTCAAAAAGTCCTGCTCCCCGTGGTATAGTGCCAAGAACGCTGGCTGCGTTTCCTCGTTGAATAGTTATACTTAGCCTTTGAGCGAGGTAAGAACCAGCCCTCTTATCACCAGCAGCGATGACCAGTCGTGGATACAGTTCCTTTACGAACTTCACTGCCGGACCGATAGTCTACAGCAAATGGCACAAATATGTAGTCATTTCTCGAAGACTAATATTTGCGCCATTTACTAAATTCGGCTGCCTTGTACATTGTACATTGCTATGATTTAAGGAACTGCTATGGAGCTTAGAACCCGTTCAGATCACATATATTTTACGAGCAAAGTTGACCTAGAACATCATTTATACCTAGAACATCATTTATACCGAACTTGCTCCCTTTTCACATTTATGTTTTGCTGGGGTATAATGAACAGTAATACCTAATATTGGTACCGTGTTTATTTCTACGGGTTTCTAAAATTTTATTATTTTTCAAAATTATAGAAAATCAAGTGAAATAAATAACAACAGAGTGAGATAAATGTAATTTAAAACACTCCACAACATAAAAAATGGTAAAAGAAATATGAAAGGCAAATTACGACACAGCAAAAGGAACTTCCATTACCAATATAGCCGATTCTCAAAAAAATCTACCTAAAAGGGAATAAATGACGACATAAAGGAAACGCGCAGCAGGATTTTCAATTTATTAAAACAAATACAATTCCCCGAGTCGTAGTAAAAACAAGACTAACTTTTGTAATGGTGTTGAAAAATGTCTACTTACTAAAAGCACTAACTTTCAACTTCAGCGAAATTTATTCCAATATAATACAAAGAAAATTTAATAGATTGAATTTCAGATTAATGTTTCTCACTAAATTTATAAAAAACAATTCTTTGTGTCTTTTTTTAGGAATTTTACCATATACCTTATACATATTTTTATATGTGGTAGAGCAACGCTACAGCTATATTATAGTTGTAGCACGAATGGGTCGGCGCGACCGGGGAAGGACAACGCTCTTACAGAATACCTGCGTAAGATAGCAGCTTAATATCGATGTGTTTCGTATGGTGAGTGTAGAGATCCGGAGACCCTTTTTTACTGGTTACAAGGTATTCTGTCTTAGTCCTCAGGGGTGACAATGCACCTGCGTTTTGATTCTTAATCGAGGATAAATGTAGACGTCTATGGGCCATTTCATCCACTCACCATCAGATGGACTGTGTGCTCGTTTGTCACTCTTATTCTATATAAAAATACGAAGACTACCTGAATACATTGGCACATAGCAACTTCAACGTTTGGGACCTAAGTATATAAGTGCCAAAATACAAAGTAATACGATTAATTAGTATTTTCTGCAAATTCTGGAATGTAATAAAAATAAATAAATAAACACATTTTCTGTTGTTTAGATTGTCGCTAGTTTTTATCGCACAAGAGGCTATAAGTTTGTTTGATAAGACGCAGTTAACATTTTAGATTATACAACCAACAGGCAATTTAAAAATATGAAAGTGTTCGAGCTTTAGTTATTACAATGTTTTATATGTAGAATAAAGGTGACAAAGGTGCACATAGTCCACTTGGTATGGTAAGTAAATCCTGTGGCCCATAGATATTTACATCTATCCGAATTAAATGCAGTTGCTTTGTCACCACTGTGGACTGCGATAAAATGGCTCGTTTCGAGTAAAAACAGTCTCATGAAACAGCAGCATTATTTTCTATTTCACGCTGGCATTTTGTGAGAGCGTGATCCTTTTCCGTTCGAACAGACCCATTCGTCTCAAAACCATATTATCATTGCACCATGGTTCTACCATAAATGTTGTGCTTTAATAATTAAATATTTTATTAACAACAAAGTTGAACGTTATAGGTTAAATACTTACTTAGCAGTGTAGTCTGCTAAAAATTAAACATTGAATTATATCAATTTCTGAAATTCCCTTTGTTATCTATTCCTAATAAGCAGTCAATTTCTGCAGTCCTAATTAAAAGGAAACTCCTTAATTGGCATTATGGATTCCAAAGGATATCGTTTACAGTAAAGTTGAAAACAATTTATCAAATGGATCCCCGTTTCTCAACAATTAAGTAGCGTTTTAGATTACACTCCAATTTAGTCTAGTACTATTATAACTTTTCTTAAAGTTTACTAATACAGTTTTAATGATAATGAGTTATTGAAAGACTAAGTTCTACGACAATATAAAATAAATCCTTCTTAATTATCTCGAGTTGAAATTTGATTGTAATTCTATTGTTTCATTTTCATATGAGATTTATAAAGCTGACTAAGGGGTCAAAGTAATGTAAGCACTAATCAACATTAGTGCAAAACATGTTCGTTAAACCGTAAAATAAGTTTGCATAGGATAAATTAGATGTTGCCGTGGTCCGAAGCACTAAAGTATTTATATCTATAGTAATAAGAAAAAATTAAATCTAACAACGTGCATACGTCCTATTATTCGAATAGTTCTTTACTTAATGATTTCTTATATTTACGCGAACACTACACATTGATTAAAACTACTTTTACGGATTTTATCGCGTTTATTTTACTATTATTTTTAATTCCCGACGTTTCGGGCGCTTGCCAGCACCCATGATCACGGGGGACTGAGATGACTGACGTCCCGATGTCATTGTTAAACCCGGAGTACCTTCAGCTTTTTTAATTATTGTTTATGGTCCGATCTATGCAAAATGAACTGACTATGTCCTGAGGTCTTGCAGTGGTATGCTTGGGTTTAGTTTTAATTTTATTGATTATAGGATCCCAAGCAGGTGGTAGTACCCAGCCTCCTTCTCTATTGAAATTAGGATGTTTTTTAATTTCAATAGCCTCACGTATCATCGGAAGGAAGAAGGAATCGGTGTTATTTAGCGAGAATTTGTGGTCTATTAAATCTGATGTAATGGTTGGGGCCGTCTGGGATATGATCGCAAACTGCAGACTTCCCGGAACGTTGATGCTTCACATCAGCTATATGTTCTTTTACGCGAGTTCTAATTGATCTTTTTGTTTGTCCTATATAAGAGAGACCACATTCACAATCAAGCTTGTACAATCCTGCATCTTGTAGAGGAATATGACACTTGACTGATGGTAGGAACTGACTAATCTTCTTCGTTCTTTACTGATTTTTAACATAGTTTTGAAGTATGGACAGGACGGTGTTCACCGAGCTGCTTCAGTGCATGTTCAACATCATATTTTTTTTTAAATTTCTATGATGATTAAACGATGTTTTCTTTGACAGCCGAGTACGCGGTAAGATGTTTCTCAGTATTGCAACTAACAAATACATGAGCCCCGGCGAGGATCGAACTCGGTTTGTTCACTTATAATTAATAATTATACCCTAACTTCCACGGCTATTTTGTTAACCTACTATATTGCTTATTGAGCTACTGTGGTTAACTATAGCTAGCCGCTCGTACTATTACAGTATTTGACGGTAAAAATTGCCACTCAGTACAGAAAAATAGCAGTTTAATAAATTAGTGGATTTAATATATGTGTTAAATTCATTATGAATGAATATTTTTTTTAAATAACATACCTCGAAGTCCAGAGCTGACTTGGCACTGATATTTGGCGTCATCTTCTAATGTTACGTCTCTTATGTCCAATGAATAGTCACCTGTAGGTAAAGGAATTATCAATATAACAAACTCGCACATTATGCACTTATTGTAAACAATTTTTCATAGTACACCCACTGTCTTGTATACTCGTATTCGTCCTTAATATATTTATTTCTTTTCTCGTTATTAAGTAGCTTAAAATGTATTCTATTGGGAACAAATTTCTCGAATTTCCATTTGCACCATTCCGCAAAGTGGATATACCGCTGCTCTTACGGCTCTCCACAAGATGGAGTGCAAATCTAGTAAAACATGAGATTGGCTCACTACTGTGTTGTGGGGCATTTCTTGAGGAGGGTTTATATTCAACAGTAAACTTGTGAAGGGCTTTGATGATTATAATCATATTTGATATTACTCACAGTTTATTTAACTCGATTAAGATACTTCAAGGAGCCTAACTTAAAGTCAGCTAACAAAATTAAATCCTTTTTTTCTGTTAACAGGTAATTTAAGCTTAGTTCACGGGGTTGCAAATACACTAAATACACATTTTGATTTCTATTTGAGGAAAGTTATTGTAGTGTAAATAGACCGCTGTAAGCAATTATCATCGGGTGAGGTGTGCCTCAAGCTAAACTGTATAAATAAGTGCAGAGGCAAAGCAATCTTATTCTCTATAGTACGAGTATATGAGCACAAAGAAGAGCAAGAAGCAGGAATCCCAGTTCTTCCTACTAAAGTCGTCATTTACAATTTTACGTAATGACTTAACAAGTTCTCCTGATTAGACTAATGCCAAAATACTCAAACGCTACTCAATTTTAAAATGCGGTTAAAGTGTCACCACTAGAAACCATAGCTTTAAATTGATTAGCGTTTGAATTAGGCCAATAAGAATATTTTGTACATATATTAAATTGTACTGTCGCACTCCTATGCGATATGTGTTTAGCAGTGGAACCTATATTTAACTACCATGTTGTCTTCATTTCTCTTTTTTAGCAATGAGTTTCATTAAATTTCTGTGCATATATTTTTTTGCATGCAAATCGATCAACTGAACTGATTTTAGTGATACTTGTTTCATTAAATAGGTTATATTCTGAATGGGACAATTTTGAAAAAAAATATATCACCCCTAAGAGTGGATTTTTATCAAATATTAATTTAATGATTTCTTATATTTACGCGAACACTACACATTGAAATAATACTAATTTTTACGGAATTTATCGCGTATATTTAACTTTTTTACCCGACGTTTCGAGAGCTTTACAGCACCCATGGTCACGGGAAGGACTGAGATGTTCAACGTCCAGCTGTCATAGTTAACCGCGGTTACCATAGATTAAAATTTAACTTTTGTTCCGATCTACACAGTATGAACTTATGGTATCATGGAGTCTTGCAGTTGTATGCTTGGGTTGGGATTTAATTTTATTTATTATAGGATCCCAAGCAGATGGTAGCACCCAGCCATCTTCTCTATTGAAATTAGGATGTTTTTTGATTTCAATAGCCTCGCGAATCATCCTTGGAAGGAATCGGTGTTCTTTAGCGAGGATTTGTGGTCTATCAAATCTGATGTAGTGACGGGGGCGATCCTGTACATGTTCACAGACTGCAGACGTGACCATGGGTGCTGTAAAGCTCTCGAAACGTCGGGTAAAAAAGTTAAATATACGCGATAAATTCCGTAAAAATTAGTATTATTTCAAAATATTAATTTCCCAATATATATATAATAAAATATATAAAATATTATGTTACCTTCTTCATCGCTTCCAATCATTTTGTACCGATCGTAGCCACTAAGATCTCTATGTAAACCTAAACCGAAGTCATCTTTCGTCCACTGCAACTGACCAACTTTGTTCTCTACTCGACATGGTAATGTCACCCTGGATCCAACGACAGCAGTCTAAAATATATATTAATACAATGGGTGCGTTTGGCAGAAAAAAGCGCTAGCAAGCGCTTATAAGCGCTAAAATAGTTTTCGGCCAGGACACGATTGCTACTTCAGTAGCGCTGACACAATCCGCCATTTTGCTTATTTAATTTGTTTGTTTTGAAGTAGAGTTTATAAGTTGTTTTGTGCAATATTAGTTTTAAGTAATATAATGACATGAATAAACATATATATGCTATTAAAAACTCATGATTGGTAAGTTTTTAATACGAATACTTTACAAACATATATTAAAATTAGGTTAGATTCCCCGGTTAAAACTAACATCGTGTCCTGGAGGAAAATAGCTATTTACGATTTAACAGCGCTCACCGCTTACGATCGCCATTTTGCTTACAAGCGCTTGCAAGCGCTTTTTTTCTGCCAAACGCACCCATTATTTTTACATAAAATACATAAAACCACACGCTTGTTACTCTGAGTCGTATGGATTAACATTCTATTTGACATAGTCCTGACACACGTCTCTCGCTTCTTAAGTCGTCTACTAAGGTAAAGTACTTGTCGGTTAAAGGTTTTTTTTAATATAGAGGCAAACGAGCATGTAGCTCACCTGATGGTAAGTGACAACCGACGCCCATGAAAAACTGTAACACCAGTTGCAAATTGGTATCTCGAGTTCTATCGCGATGTGAAATTAAGCGGCTGGAATTAATTCGAAAAATTCCTCTGAGAGCTCCCCGTCGTAAATACGATAGAATACGCAAAAAGATACAATATCTCTATGCAGCGCCAATGAGTCAAGCCGATCAGAAATTGATTCTAATCGTTCTGCGCAGATGTGGAATCGGTATCCCATGTGAGTCTGAACCTGCGCCTTTTAAAGTTGCAGGTGGTGTGCCGGCATGAAATACTGTCCCGCTTTTACTTTGGTTCATCTTCAAGATATCAACAATTTTGTCGACATATTCCCATATAGTCCTCACTAACTAACTCTATCACTCACTTCTTTAGCATAAATTTGCTTTATCCCTCATTCGTCTACGTCATTCATTCTTTCTACGTGACCAAATCATGGAAGAATTTCTCGCTTGATCCTGGTTATAATAAATTCTTACAAACCGCGCTTTTGTCTTATCACATGGTTTCTCACACTATGATTGTGATATCTCTAGCATACTACTTAATGACTGCATTTTTACAGCAATCACTTTACTCTCAGTAAAATAAATGCTGTAGAAATAAAGGAGCCTAATGATTATCCTTTTATAAATGACTGGCCTGTGATTAGCCTTAACAAGTATAATTGCTGTAATTATTTGCTGCATTACTTATGCTTTACATAAAAAAATCATATTTTAAACATTTAAATGATCGTGGCCATGTTGTGCTGTAACTGTAATATGGCTATAGCTCAAAGACATTGCTTCGACCGAGGAAGGACCACGCTTTCACAGAATACGAGCGTCAAATATCCCCATAATGCTGCTGTCTCGCATGGTGAAAACTGGAAATACTTTTTAATTACAACGAAGCATTCCATCTTAGTCCTAAGTTATGACAATGCTTTCTGCATTTTGATTATTAATTAGGGATAGTTGTAGGTGTTGTAGGGGTATCTATGGGGCAAAAAATCAACTTACTATCAGGTGGACTGCGTGCTCGTTTTTATTTGTCGTTTTCTGTAACCACCACGCTTAGCTAAGGTGGATTTGTGATTGCATTCTCACGGTAATTAATAAAATACTTGATGTTCTCCTGGGCAGTATCGAAAACGATATACATATTGTTGATATATCGTAGTATTATAGGGGCTATCCCACTGATCAGTTGCGGGCATAGACAGAGTCACGAGACTATAAATAATACATGGGAAAGGGGTTTATATATTGGTTATTCTATGATTCGAAAGAATAAGATTCATCTGGGATCCCAGGTACTCAAGACCACTTAATTAGTTAGTTAATTACATGTTTGAATAATGTGCAACCAACGTCTACAATTAAAAAATCTATCGAATACATACATCAAAAATACTTTCGTGTCACTATTTAAAAAGTCTTGATGTAAAAGAATTACCTGATCCTGTGGTTCCATTGCAAACTTCTGTTCAATATAACCACTGCACACACCGAAAACCGCGAAAAGCACTATATAACACATGCTACGAGTCCGCAATAAAAGAAATAAGGGCTGCGCACACCTACTGGTGATTCGTAATCTACATTTATAGTTCGACATCTCTGTCCCGTCACTCCGCGACTACACAGGGTTTCCGTTGTTCAATACCGGCATAGGGATATCCGATCTATTTTCGTAATTTCACATTTTGAGCGGAAGCTCAGCTTCCCCTATACATTGAACGCGTGGTGAGTTCTATTCTCGTTACAGTCTCGTTGAATTTAAGCGCCATGTTTATTTTCGGACACTTTTTAGTGGAATGGTAAATAGACCGTGTTGCGTGATTTATTGTACATTGAGCGTTTGCAACGATGCGATGACTGGTGTAGGGTCAACTGAAACAAAAAAGAAGCAAAGTTTAAATATACGCCACTAAAATAGTTCAGGTATTAAATTTGAAAATACCAAAATAAACCATTAAAGTTTATAAAAAACTTATTTTATATTTCTGGTGCACATTTCATTTACTTAAAACTACAAAAAACATTTAATATGACTACAGCAGTGGTAAGGAAAATGTTTAGATTATTTTTACATCTGTCTGAATATTACAGAGGGACGCAAATTAGGAGAATGGCCAGTAACTTCTAGCTAATAACGACTCAAAATAAAATGCTGCGGTTGCCAACCCGCTTGCCAAGTGTAGTGTAGTTTTTTTATAGAATAGGGTGACAAACGAGCACACAGTCCACCTGATGGTAAGTGGTTGCTGCGGCTCGTAGACATCTACCCTCAATTACAAATAAAAATGCAGATGCGTTGTCACTCGTGAGGACTAAGATGGAATGCCTAGTTTCCAGTAAAAAGGGTGTCCGGTTCTCTACACTCACCATACGAAACATAGCAGCATTAAGCTACTATTTCACGCTGATATTCTGTGAGAGCATGGCCCTTCCCCGGTCGAGCCTGGTTGGCTGGTGTCTCTACCACTCCTAGAAGGGATATTTGCCAAACTATGGCAAATATCTCCTCCATGAGGCAATCTAAGAGGGGGAGGCCTATGTTCAGCAGTGGACTTTCATAGGCTGTAATGGAATCATCATCATTACAGCCCTTCACAAGTCCACTGCTGAACATAGGCCTCCCCCAAGTAATGCCACAAAGCACGGTCCTGAGCCACCTGCATCCATCGACTTCCTGCATGTCTTACCAGGTCGTCACTCCATCTAGTGGGGGGTCGCCCTACACTACGCCTACCGGTACGAGGCTGCCACTCGAAAACCTTTCTTCCCCATCGGTTATCGGTTCTTCGAGCTATATGGCCGGCCCATTGCCACTTCAGCTTACTAATCCGTTGGGCTATGTCAGTCACTCTGGTTTTACTGCGGATATCCTCATTTCTGAATCTATCACGCAGAGAAACTCCGAGCATAGCTCTCTCCATAGCTCGCTGAGCGACCTTGAGCGTCCTCATACGGCCAGCAGTGAAGGACCACGTCTCTGATCCTTAAGTCATCACTGGCAACACGCACTGGTTGTACACTTTAGTTTTCAGAGATTGAGGTATACCTGACGAGAAGATGTGTCGTAATTTCCCAAAATGTGTCGTAATTGCCCAGCCGAGTTGAATCCGTCGATTGACCTCTCGGTCGAAGTTGGACTTACCTACTTACCTTCTATTTAATGTGTAATGGAATATTACACATTAAATAGAATTATGTTAATGAATTTTGCTGCGTTTTATTATAACCTATTTTTTTTTGGTTTTTCGCTGTCATGGGTGCTACGAACCACTCAAGTCTTCAAAAATAAAAATAAGTTACAATTAAACGTGAAAATTATCTTTTGACAAAAATTAAAGGCCAACTACAATGAACTAATAAGAATAATATAATTTCACATTCCAAATTCAGTACTAAGGTGTAGTATAAGGTTAATTATAGTATTATATTATGTAATATAGGTAATCATTATATAATTTATCGTTTAAAATATTTTTTTTACTCTTTAAAGTGGACTTAGTATTATCACAATTTAAATATTGTCTAAAAATTTACATAAAACTTCCCTATTTTGACACCCTAAGGGTTAGAAGTTTTTCTCCTAATTTCTTTGGGAAAATCTCCAAAGTATAACCTGTTAAATAATAGTTATGTTCTTCTTTGAAATGGAATCATCGAAATATGTTAACAAAATGACAGAGATATCGCGAATCATACATACACCTTCTTCAAATCGGCTAGTAAAATTCGCAAATTTTGATTTATTAAGAGAATTTAAATAATTGATTTTAGTAGTACTACACGTACATTAAATAATATTGATTATTTTATTGAATTATTTTATTATTGAAATATTAACAACATTACTTCCCAACGGAGGGAACTGAAATATTAGGTACGGAGACCCCCCAATCACCCTGCTTAGAAGGAACATAATCTTCATGATAAACGTGAATCAGAAATGAATGTAAAAATATATTTCATTTTTGCAGCGAGCAACACTGGCAAAGAATAAGCGATAACAATAAGTACAGATTTGCGCAATTTGCATTGGAAATGACTTTCAGAACTCAGGTTAATCAAATATATAAATAAGGTGGAAAAAAATTGTTCCAACAGAGTATAATTCTCGGCTCCTGCGTTGTTACGCCGTTTAAGTTATAATAATGTTTCCCGGGAAAGTTCCAGGTAAAAGTTTGCACGCCAATGGTTTTAATTCTTTTTCACGAAAATTACACTGCGCTAAAAATATAGCGTTACATAAATTCACAATAATTTAAGTGTGTTTCCTCTGTATAAAGTGTGTGATACAACATTATCAACTTATAGCTACTATGTAATATTTTATACTATTAAGCAGAAAATATGTGCTTATACAGACTGATGTTATTCAAGTTTTTTTTCTTATAATCCTTTCATTTACTAAATAATCAATGCGTGTTGTGACCAGCTATAAAAATAAATACAATTGTAATTTGCTTAACATGTTATGAAAATGATCTTTGCATTACTGTTGTAATTTCTGTTGGTAATCCTAATAAATAAATAAGTAAATGCCTAAAACAATAATTATCTCGTTGTTATCAATAAGACAAAGTCGAAAGTATATGATGTGATCTAGTGCAATAGAAAATTAAAAAGAAGAAAATATATTATTTAAAAATATTATATAAAATAAAATATTATAATATTATTCGGCATGATCCTGACACATCTTTCTCGCCCTCTCTACATTAATATATCTACTTGAGGGTACCCCTAATTTGGCCCGTTTTCAATATATCGCCAATTTGGTCGATTCAATTTCGCCTAGAATGTCCCTTTCCGACTAGTTTCCTAATAGAAATATCTGATATTATTATAAGTTTATATGTATACCTATTACTAACATACATTAAAAATTACACAACTAATTCACCGTCATCATCACAAGCCCACATAATGCTGAACATAGGCCATTCTAAAAGACTTCCACATGACTTATTAGATTGTTATTATATCTAGTGGGAGGCCGAACTAAGCTTCGCTCACCGTTACTAGGAAGCCAATTTAGAATCTTTATTTTCCATTGTTTGTGGGTTCTTCGACAAAGGTAGTCGGTATTTTAAAAAAAAATGAGTTATAACGGGGACTGGTTGTGTGCTATATTGCTGTTTGTTGAATATATATTTGGCGATTAGTTAAAATTAAAGTTAAAGATACAACCTATATACTCTTTTCACTTGTAGGCGGGTATTAGGGCAAGGCTATATCTGCCACACTGCCTCATGCATGTTGGCGAACTTCACATGTCTTCGAAATATTTTTGTCTTATTTCTCAAACATGCAAGTCTCTTCACGATGTTTTCCTTCACCGCTGAGCAAGTGAAAAGTCAGCATTTTAAATTGAAATGAACAATTTCTTTGATGCCGGCGAGAATCGAAACCGGGTTGCTCGCGTACTATGCAATTTACATCGTGTGCTTAGCCCCTGAGCTACCATGGCTTAGTACTCAACACAAAGATCAGAGACCCGTGATGGGGTTCAGCATTACCAGTGCGAGGTTATGTAGTTCAACCTCAGCACCAGCTCAATAAATCCTCTGCAAATGAGGATATCTTTTATGTGCACTATTTGTATTATTTGCCACGTTCGAAAAAAAAGACAACCATTTTACAATTATAAACATACTTTTTAAACAAATGTGACATTTCATTTAATTTTTCTAACCTTACCGGCAATAACGCAACGTCGGTAAAATACGACTTTAGACAAATTTGAATAATCAGTTTTAAGTTAAGGTCAATAAGGTCGGATAACCTTACTAATTGGAGAGCAACTTCATTATAATTAAGTAGATATAGATAATATGATGAAATGTCAACAACTTGCTTGACTTATATTAACGTTATGTTTGTTATTTGGTGGGCTTAAAAGAAACAACAAACATTTTGTAAATACCATAAAATTATAATAATAAAATTTTAAAAAATTACAGAAGATTTACGCCATGTAGTAGCGGTGTAAGAATATCCATTACCCCGTATCGCCAGGCGACAGAAATAAATTGAAACAGGTGATGGGCGGCAGCATCTTCCTGATAACGACTCAAAATTATAAAAACTGCAGTGGACAGCTAGCTCGCCAAGCATGTCGACTATGGCAAAATTCCTCCTATGAGGCAATTTATGGGGTTGGCCTATGTTCAGCAGGGAACTTTTATAGGCCGTGATAGATGGATGGATGAATAATACTAATTTTTTATAGGATAGGGTGACAAACGAGCACACAGTCCACCTGATAGTAAGTGGTTGCTGTGGCCCATAGACATATATCCTCGATTACGAATCAAAATGCAGACGCGTTGTCACCCGTGAGGACTAAGATGGAATGCCTCGTTTTCAGAAAAAAGGGGTCTTCGGTTCTCTACACTCACCATACGAAACACAAGAGCATTAAGCTACTATTTAATGCGACAGTAGCCTAATGGCAGG